GGGCTGATGCGCCGCAGGGCTGGCACGACCCGACGGGCACGACACCGCCAGGAGCAGCCCGATGTTTCCGCTCGTGGCCTCGCAAGCCGCGATGCTGCCCTTAGCGCGCTGAAACCTAACGCAGCTCCGTTAGGTTATTACACAGCCCGCGCCAATACCGTGGAAATATTTCCCTGTTAATATTCAGCCTTTGCCAGACAAACCGGGAGCGAAGGAGGGAGGGGGAAGGAGATGGGGGAACAACAGGGCGGCAGGCAGAAAACAAAACGGCGATAGGAAAAAAACAGCAGGGGAGCTAACGAAGGGAAACTTGGCCGCGCAAGGTGACTGGCGGACGGAGAGGAGGGTCAGGTCCGTCTCGGACCACAGGCTTCCCCGGCACCCGGCTCCTTCCCACCCGAGCTTCCCGCGGCTCCCTGGCAGACGGTGGGCAGAGGGCGAACAGCAGGACGGATGCAGGGCCGGGCTGGAAAAAAAAGCCCAAAAAAGCCCACCCCAACAAACCATCCCAGCAAAAAAGGTCTAGATACAAGCGGCAGGTTTGATTGCACGTGGCTAAGGAGACGGGAGCGACAGCCAGGCACAAACGCAACACGACAGCCCGACAGGATTTGTATTGCCCGGAGCCGGGATGCTAAAACATTTACGCCAGGTTTCTGTCTTGCGCTCTCCCGCGGGAGCCCGTTAACACAGGCTGCCCGGGTAACGCGCGCGACGCAAAGCTGAAATCACCAGCCCCTTTCTGCTCCCAAAGCAAACAGCTTTCCGTCACCTCCGGCTCTTGTTCCCCATCGCGCTCCAGGCCAGGGTCAGGGCTAGACTGTGCTCCCCGCCCAGTTTTCCATCTCGCGGTCGCCCTTCTCCTTTCCATCTGCTGACACAGGCAGCAGAGATGTGAGCTGGGGCACCAGGAGCTGCGTAGGGCTCCTGGAAGGATTAACGCAGAGACAACCCTGCACGTTGCAGGCCATTCACATCCACAAAGACGAGCAGCAGAGACACAGCTTCACGCAGCGCCACGTTCTGCAGAATCCGACCACGTTTCATGAGCACAGACTTCTGAACCCCTGCCTTATATCTATTTGCAAAGACACGTGGTGGATCCTTAACTCTCCCTTCCCGACGACCGTTACGCGCACTCGGATTTGAGCCCGCTCTGGATGCGTCTGCATGCACGTTTGGTCTTGCTGCCACACAAAATCTGCCAGATGTTGTTTAACACACGGAGTTTGTAACCCCTAGGGCATGACCCAAAACCACAACCTCAGTGCTCCGTGCCCTGCAAAAGGTCCCAGCCCCGCGCTCCCCTGGGACTCACCGGCTTGGTTGGTGGTGATGTTCACGGAGACGTGCTGCGGCGGGAAGGGGCTCTTGTTCGAAACCCCGTTCACAGCCTGGATCTCAAAGGTGTACGGCGTGTGCGCCCAGAGACTGCTGATGAAGACTCGGGTTTCTGTTAGGCCCAGCTGCCTGGGTACGAACTCCACGTTGTCATCGCAGCGGGAGCAGGCGCGCCGGTCGGACCGGCACTTCTTGCACACGATGTTGTAGGTCACATCATCCCGGCCCCCTGTCTCTCGCGGCGGGTGCCACTCCAGGATGATGGACGTCTCATTGACGATGGAGATCACGTTGCGGGGCCCGGACGGGACACCTGGTGGAAAGCAGATCGGTTAATACACGTCCTTGCACAACACATTATGCTCAGCTCTACTCTGGGACTCAGAGGTAGCCCAGGTAACTCGAGCACCTACAAGGGCACCTTATAGCTCTGCCTACAGTCAAGAGACCTCCATGTCTGCCCCTCTCCTCCTGGTCCAGGAGACCATATCCTTGTCTGGTTCAGTCTCAGGCTTTCACAAATCTGCAACTTTAGCACCCTTCTCTAACCTGTCTGCACTTGTGGCCACATCTCTAGCAGGAGAGAGGAGCTTACTAGGTTGGGTGTTGGATGGGGACTGTGTGGATGTGGAGCCCTGCTCTACCAAAAACCTGCCTAGTGTCCGAACGCCTCGGTTTCTTGATCTGAAAACGTGCAGAGCAGCTCCGCGGTGGAGTGCTGCGAGGATGAACCCGTTTTAATGATAGGGAGATGCTGAGATAGCTCAAGTGTTTACACGGAGCCCGCAGAAGTACCTCAAACAGATTATCGCAGCAGGAGAAATGTCACTTGGATAGAACGGCACAAAAACGAAGGAATGATGGGCAAAAAGAAAGTCAGAAATGGAAAGCGGTTATTAATGGTTCGATATTTCAAGTTGAGAGCATGGGTATTTAATGGCATTGAGGAAGGTTCTCCTCTGGGCCCGGCGCTATTCAGTATTTTATTAGCAACTTGGATGTCGGACTAGAGAGTTCATTGATCAAATCTGCAGGTAACACCAAGCTGGGAGCGATCACAACTGCTTTGGAAGATGGGAATTAAATACAGCACCAATTTCATATATTGGCGAAACGGCGCTCGAATCGATAGAGAGAGGTTCAGGAGGAACAACTACCGCGCCACTCATGCGGGAGAGAGTAATCAAATGCACAAAAACCCAATTGCGCCGCTGCCCGGGCGGCAGGGCCACCAAAAAAAGATCTGGGGTGGGGGGTCGCTGGGACGGGTCACCAGCATGACTGCACGGCCAAAAACGCAAACAAGTATTTGGTAGGTCACGTTAAACACGGAGAGCAATTAATTATCGTGCTGTGCAGGGCGCCGGCGGCACGGCGCGCGGCCGGGTTCGAGCGCAGCGGAGAAAGGGCTTCGCCACGCCGGGAAGAGCTCGGAGCAGAGCAATAAAAATGATCAAGGATGTGACCTCTGAGGAAAGGTTAAGAGAGCGAAGCACGCTCCGTCTAGAGGAAAAAATGTCCCCGGGGAGCCTTCCTCGCCGTCCGCACGCACGTCGAGGAATGCTATTAGCAGGATGCGGACCAATTATTCGCGTTAGTCACGGAGGGCGGGAGAGAGGGGCCGGGCACGGGCCGAGGCAGGCGGCTCAGCCGGCGAGGAAGCCCCCGTGCCGAACCCCCCCTCCCCGGCTCACCCTCTCGTCTCCCTGAATTACACCCGGATTGGCGCTTTGGGAGCCTCGCTGATGGGTTGCCACGGTTACTGCGGAGGAAAGCGTTTCGTTACAAACGGCCAGAAAAAAATTACTCCCTTAAAAAAATAAAAGAAAACAAAAAAAAATTCCGCTCCGCTTAATTTTTTCCCCCGGCCAGCCGGAGTCGATGCCTCCGTCGCCAGCAGGGCTTCGCGGCGCCCTCGCTGCAAAGAGGCAGCCAAGATGCCCTGCCTCGGCGATACGGCGCTGCAATCCCGTTAGCGCCCGGCCGGAGCGATCGAGCGCGATTTAACGGAGCTGGTGGCACAGGGAAGCGCCGGGACAGGAGCGGAAGGGGATGGACACAGCTTCCCCCGGGGGAGTAAGACTGGAGACCCCCTTGAGCCCATCAACAAAGATGCTGCGGATAAGGGAAAAGGGAGGAAATGTCTCTCTTCCGTGTTTACACGGGAGCTGCTAAAACCGAGCACCGATCCTGACGGAGGCTGCAGGTACCGGCATAAAAGTAGTTACCGTCGGAAGGATGGATCCTGCTCCCAGAGAAAGCTACGGCGAAGTTCCTCGCGGCGCCCGGAGGGAAAGGGTTGCCGCGGTCCTCCGCCTCCAAAGCGCTTGCTATCGAATGCCCTTCTTCCTTTCAACCGCCTCCTTTGTGAGGATCTGCACGAAGCAATTTCTCAAGTTTCGCGTTTTCAAGACCTTCGGAGCGGCGGGGGGAGAAAGAGGGAGATGCTACCTGCAACGTTTTCTCTCCAGCAACCAATGCCACAAGGGTCCTGCAGCCGGACGTGCCACCAGAGCACAAATTTGCGCACGGGCTGCTCGTTCACAAACACCGGTTTTAAGAGACAATGCACCGCTTAGGGGCTGAACGGCCCGCGTTTCTACGCAGAGCGCGGAAGACCTACGGGAACCACCTAGGAGGATACGCTTCAGAAACGCACAGCCACTTTTTTATTGCCCTGGATCTGCACGAAGCAATTTCTCAAGTTTCGCGTTTTCAAGACCTTCGGAGCGGCGGGGGGAGAAAGAGGGAGATGCTACCTGCAACGTTTCCTCTCCAGCAACCAATGCCACAAGGGTCCTGCAGCCGGACGTGCCACCAGGGCACAAATTTGCGCACGGGCTGCTCGTTCACAAACACCGGTTTTAAGAGACAATGCACCGCTTAGGGGCTGAACGGCCCGCGTTTCTACGCAGAGCGCGGAAGACCTACGGGAACCACCTAGGAGGATACGCTTCAGAAACACACAGCCACTTTTTTATTGCCCTAGTAAAGAGAAGCAGCTACAGCTACACAGCATTGTTTACTCTTATGACACACGCCAACTTTGGAAGCGAGCAGCTGGCACCTCAAATTAGAACATTTTAAAATTAAGCTTTAATGAGAGGAAATAAAAATCGACAAATGGACTTTTTTTAATGCAGTATTCCTTTACTGTAGCATACTGTAAATCAGCTACGTAACAAGATAGAATAAAGATGCAGATTTATTTAGAACGGTTCTACCTGCCCATTACTCCCTTCAGCTCGTGACAGCTCCAGTGATCCAGCAGAATATGCAAATTAATTTCCTATTTCAGGTGCATGTCTCAGCACTCCTTAGCATCACGTGCCTCTTAGCAGATCCCAGCACAGATGCAGAAATCCATGCGGATTCCTGGAGCACAAGGACACACCAAGTGCAGAGAGAGGCGCTCAGAAAAAGAGACGGTGCAGCCAACCTCCGTCTTGAAGATACGTCTACAGCCAGGTTGAACTGTACGGGAAACGTCCTATCATACTTGTAAAATGTGGTTTCTGTAAAACAAACTGAGCAATGCGCATCTGTAGTCCAACCAAATTGTCTTCAGGAGCTGCAGATTAGAAATATCATGCAAAGTCCAAACCACATAGCCTAAATAGTTAAACCACAGCTCGCTGGAGCAGAGATCCAGGCAAGGGCACCAGGAAGAAAGTCCTGGCTGCCGATGTGCTCTCCTTCAGCCACTGCCACAGACCTCAGCCACCTTTGCGGTTTGAGCTATGTGGCTCAGCTCTCCAAGGGGGTGTCACACACTCACCTTGCTTACGGACCTGACACATGGGGAGGAGACACTTGATACCCACCAAAGAGCTCCTTGCCAAACACAGCTTTCCTAACTCTGGGAGGAGAAGAGAGAGCATCTTTGCTTACCCTGTTCCACAGTTTCCTCATGTTTAAGATCCTGACTGCTTGATGATGGACCAATCCAACGGCCTGGGGCATGTTTTCTTCTGGTAGTTTGGCTAGAAGGCAAGCCTGGGACCCACAGTCCCAACTAGCTAAGAAGCCCACCACCTGCTGAGAGCTCCCAGCCCTTTCCTGTGCTCTTTTCTAACGGAAAGCCCAGCTTAAGACCGCTGCTGCCATCGGAGGCTGCTAGGCCAGACGGCTGAGCAGGATGATGCATTGCACACACAGCCACACAGAATATCAATGCTTAATACACCCTCTGCCCTATAAAAAAATATTCCATCTGCAAGACGATGAACACGACAGCGCTAGTAGATAACTTTAAATGCTAATTTATCCTGGGGGACTATCTCCCCGCCGTCACCGCCACGGGGAGGTATAAATTCAAAAGGCTCTTGGAGATGTGGGCTGTGGGACTGTCCCATTACTCATCATTTGGGGTGCGCCATGGTGGCATCGTGGGAAGATCAGCAGCTACGCGAAGGGTGACACATCATCATCTGCTTACGCCGGCGTGGTGATAGAGGGATTCGCACTGATGTTATGACACTAGCGGCATTTCTATTACCGCACAAAAGGTAGTGCCGCGTTGCGTGGTGACAGATGGGTGTTTGATGTGGGTAAGGTGGCCACCCATAAGCTAAAACCTGCAACATTTCACTCCTGGTGGAGAGGAGCGAAACCTCATGGGCCCTCCCCGCGCGTCACACCACCATTATACTCACTGGTGCAGGCGGCTTGGTGCGCCCCCCGGCAGGCAAAAGCCGGCCGGGTAGTAGCCGTTGCGGCACGTGCAGACTGGAGAGGCCTCGGACGTGGAGCGGCTGTTGGCGGGACACTGCGCACAGGTCCCCGCGCCCTGGCTGGCCTTGAACGTCCCCGCGGGGCAGGCTGCAAGAGAGGGGAGAGGAGAAGGGTTGGACACTGAATGTTGCCGGGTGCCTTGGAGCCGTCACTTGTGGATGGCACCTTCTGGACATTGAGCACAGAGAAGAAAACCTCAGCCACACATACAAGCACCCCTGGGCCACTAGGGCTCGCCTACAGCAGAGGGACTGTGACCTTCTCCAGTTAGATTTTGGGTTGTGTCCAACCCAGGCTGGCAGGGAGCAAAACTCAGCAGCACCTGCTGTGATAAAGCTAGTGGTGGGATCCCAGCTCCCCCAGGCCCCTCTGCTCTTGGCTCCTTCCACGTGCAACCAGCTGTCTAGGTGTTGGGGCCAGGCCGGCCAGCTCTCCCCACATGCAGAGCGGGCAGAGAGAAGGACGCCGAGGGCCCGGAGCGCGTCCCCTTCGGCTGCTCCAACACCTCCCTCTGCGCCACGGTGACGGCACAGCTCGAGCCTCACCATTTTTTCCTTTCACCGTGCAGGATTTGAATATTTAATTCAAAAGATGACGCAACACCCGCGGTGGTGTCTTACGGGTCTGTCCCGTTAACGTCACCGCAAACCAGGTCCTGGGCTAATAATCTCCTTGGCCTTCGGCCTCCGTGTTTATTCAAGCAGGTCGCAGTAATTAATTCACAAACAGGAAGCCCCCTCCAGTTCTCGTTATAGCACGACTTCAGACCCTATCAGAGCGAGCTATCGTTAATCAACAGCCTCTCCGCATCTGCGATGACACAGAGAGTGTAAAGCAACGACAGACAGGGGGGGATCAGTGGGTGCCAGCACCCACGTCCTCCCCAGCCAGGGTACCCGCTGCTTGGGCTCTGTCTTGGGGACAACCTGTGAGGCCACCCCTGCATGGTCTTACTGGCTTGCAAAGACCGAATTATCCTGATTTTCATTGCGTTTTTTAAAAAACTTTTCCTCCCCCTAGGTAACCTCAGCCGCAGAGAAGCGCCCTTTGCTTTGAGGCCAAATTTTGTAGGCAGCTGCCTGGTCGAATCTGGACAAAGTGATAGCACATGGATGTGTATTTAAAGGTATTTTTGTCTTATTTTCCTGCAGTAGGGCGCAATGCCTTGCCTTGTCCTCCAGCCTGTGATATAGCCTTGGCATGCTGACGTGCTGGACGCTGTGGATTTGCTCGGAGCAAGGCAGCGATGGCAGAGCCCACCCCACCTCATGGCTCCCGCTCACTTGCTCTCCAGCCTGGCCGCCTTGCTTGCCCGCGTCCCACCTGCTAGTCCTCAGGGGACTTTCACCAACTACCTGTTGAGGAACGGATGCTCAGGCACCCTGGCGTTCCCGACATTTAATAAAAGCACTCAGACGACTCCTGCGAAACCTAAGCAGGGAGAAGGTATTTTGGTATGTGCATCGGAGAGATCAGATCTCCATCAGCCCTCCATCCAGATGCACAGAAGGACATGTGCTTGAAGCACGCAACACAAGCACTGCTGACACCCATCGGGGCAGAGCCGATGGGACTCCTTGAGGACCTGGAAGCCTTCAAACAAAACGGGGAGCAAGCCCTGCTCAGGGAGCGTGCCTCGCATGGCAACATGGGCACCTCCCGGCAGTCCCAGCTCACGAGCAGGATGGGACCAAAGCAGGGCACCTCGCAAGGTGGATAAGAACACGTGCCTTGAACCAGAGAGCTAATCCCAGCAACCGGACATGCCTTCTCCAACAGACTGAGCAAGGGGGGAGGAATGCTTTTGTTTTCTGGCTGGGAGTAGACGGCTCCTCGGTTTGCAAAGGAGCCCAGCAGCCCCCGAGCGGTTCGCTCCTGGCTCTACCCCCACAACGCCATCACCTCCGCAGCATCGCTCAGAAAAGAAACGCACTAAGTGTCTCATAAACACTGAGATGATTGAGATAATGGAAAGTGCCTCTTAGCCCCTGTCTGCCGCATCAGGATATGAGGCATCTCCTAGCAGCCCTGAAGAGGAAATTAATAGGAGCAAGCAGGAGTAACCACTTTGATGCAATTTCCTTGGGAGATAGTGGACCATCTAATCTTTATTGGAGCCCTTTAACCTGTCATTCAAAACTCATGAAGGCCTCTTGCTCACATGATATTTCCAGATATTAAAAGATGATAAAAAAGAATAAATCAAAACATTATTTTACAATTTTATTATTCAGGGGATTTGTCCCCCTGCCTGCAGCATGCGACCAGGGTTTTACAAAGGACTGAAATTTGCTGGCTCCTTCCAACACCGCAAACAGCCCCAGTGGGGATCCAGCATCTCAGAGGGTCCGGCTACCACCTCAACTTGTCCTTTCCTTCTCTCCTGCATGCGAGGACCACCTAGACCTCTGTTTCCCTATATTTCTGACATGGGAATGGTCTCTGGGAAGGTGGTTGTGTGTTTTCTCGTTCGACACTCAAGCAGCAGGGACCAAAACACAGCGCAGCAGCAGCAGACGCAGTGAGGCCTTGTGAGGGTTGGGCAACCCGCACAGACAGCTGGGGCTGACTTTCCAGCCGATCAGTTCATTTATTGTCTAGCCTGATCTGAGCCCTCCCTTCCTGCCCTTTGCTCACGTGGTTTCAGAAGGAGCTGGAAAAACGCAGTATGCCAGGGAACATCCAAGAGGTATCTGCATCCGTGGGTCCACCTTAAACTTTGGACCTGATTCCTGCTTTGAATGCAAATTTATTAAATCTAGCATCTAGATGGTCAGCCATCCATCAAAGCCACTTGCAGAAGAAATAGTAAACTCTGCAAAGCCCTTCAATCTATCAAGACTTTTCCTCACAATTACTGTTTTTCTTCTCTCCAGTGTGGCTGTAGGTGTCTCACCCGGAGCTGTTCCTCCACAACAGCTCTCCATTTTCCCCAGCCCTAGCACTGGGGGAGGCTCAGGCAGGAGAGCTTCAGAAACACGTCAGGGATAAAATACCTGTTAAGCCTCAAGAGGTGACATTCTTCCTCCCAAGCAAGCCCTGCATAGCTCCCCATCGTGGCATGAAGGCACACCAAGTCTTATCAGTCAGGTAAGGCAGAAGACCTCACCACTCATGGATCTGGGGACTTCCAAGGTGGAACTCCATTAATTCACGGTCCTGCCTCTGCCCTTCCACTGACGCATGGGGTGACCTCCCCCTTCAGGCCTCAGTATCAGAGCCCTTGTTTGTAAGCATTATCGCTACAGAGCAGCTCCAGAGCTAGGAGAACTTCTTCTGAAAACCATCTGAAACGTGCTGGGCTCTTCAGAGAAGCAGAAAGAGAGGCCTCCTGAATCGGGGAATGAGCCATCTAATTTTAGTCGGAATATGACAGGAGAGCGCGGGAGGAGGACAAGGACGAGAGGGTCACATTAATATGAATACGCATCATTTTTAAGCATATGGGCATGTTGGTGGTTCAGTTAAAGGGTTTTGTTTATTTTTAATTACAATTAAACTAAACGGCACTTGTCAAAATAAATGAACAAAGTACATTCTGCAATACGGCGTCCTTGGGTTTCCTTTATCACTTCACTTATCTGCAAATTCCTGTAATCTGCACGCGCGTGCCTCTTAATTGTTATTATTACAAATTAGCATTTCTCTCCTGTAATTATATTACGGTTGCCTAAATTCTCCTGTAGTTTCAGCCAGGGCTGATGCTTCTCTCTCCTCCCTCGACTGCTCTGTGCCGGAGCCCTCTGCTCTCAAACCTAACTGCTGCCCAAGTCACGCAGCAGACCTCCTCTTTCTGCAGGAGGTCAAACAAGACCCTAAGGCAGTAGCTGAACCATAAAACCCCGCTGCCGATGGGCCCTGAGCCCCCTTAGCCGGACACATGTACAATGGAGGCTTTCCCTTAATCAATCCCATATGCGACAGATAAAAGCATACGGGACCCAGTCTTTCCCATCTTGTCACAGTAATATCTGGGTTTTGGATGTTGCACAGCATCAAAACCTCCGCTCGGCATGCCGAGACGGGCGGCGCGCACGCCACAGCCGCGCCGCGCACCAACAGCGACCGTGCATCGCACTGCACGTGGGATTTATGGAAACCTGCGCAGCACGGGATCCACGATCCCCTGGACGGTAAACGCACAGTCTAGTTGCATGGCTTGGATAGAGGACTTGAGACCAGGAGAGAGCAGTGGACAATCCCACTAAGGGCAAGCGCAACGTTTTCCTCGATTGAGAGGCTGCTGCAGGAGCGTCTGCCAGAGGTTGCAAAGTCGGGATATCCCCAGCAGCATCTCGGATCAGGAGCGGGACACCAGGGTCTGCCTCTGCTCTCCCTGCGCAGGCACTGCCCCAACAGACGCGTTACTACCTGTGACGAGCCGCCGTGCCACGCTGCAATATGCATGTCTTCGGCCAGGATACCAATTAATCGATTATTTATTACGTGGGCTGGAGAAGATTAATGATGTGCTTAACTATCCGTTGCTTGCATGTAAGCACTTTGGGGTGTGTTTGCAAATGATGAGGCAAATAACCAGCCTTGTCATCTAGCACCTGGGGATTTGCAGACGTGGTGCACTCAAGGGATGGCCAAAGCGGGGCAGGGGGACCACAGTGCCGAGCGCTCGCTACCCAGGTGCGGGCACCCAGCCAGCGTGGAGAAACATCTCTGCAGCCCATCCTCAAAAACCTCTGCGGAAACAAGCCTCTGACCGCCGCTCCCTCGCTTTTGGGTGCGAAAGGTCGGCCTCGAGCCCAGTCCCGCTCCACTGCTGGGGATTAGTTGTCCTGTCTGTAAAATGGGTCCAGTCACTCAATGAGGATTGCGTGGGCCATGAATTTCCCAGCAGGGCTCCCTTCCCCAGGGATCACGCAGCCATTTTGCAATGGGAGGAAGCATCATTTTCTCCAACCCTGCCATTTCCCTTCCCTTTCCGAAAAATAGTCAGAGGCAAACAATAGAAACGCTCACCTCACGGGTTTTTTCCCCCTCCCCTTCATGCAGCTATCTCAAATTGTGTCTACTTTTCACCTAATGGCCATTTCTAAAACATTGCACCAGCTCCGCTCTCGGAAATGGCCTCT